TGAGTAAAAAGGAAACGTTAGTGTGTAGTACGCCATAGTTGATACAAGTATACAAAGGGGATGTAGCTCAAAATGGTAGAGCGCGCGCTTAGCATGCGCGAGGTACAGGGATCGATACCCTGCTTCTCCAGGCGTCTGTAGTATAGTGGTCAGTACCTCACGTTGTGGCCGTGATATCCCCGGTTCGAATCCGGGCAGGCGCATCTTTTTACCCTACTACACTCATCTTACTTTATACATCGCTGCAAACCAGCCACCTACAACACTACCACTTCATTCTATCGTCAAAATACCATTATTTCGTCATCCATTGCGCTATCCCATGCCTTATTGTTCAGCCGCTAGCCCGCTATATAAAATCCAAATATCCTTCATTTTTGCCATCACTACACACACACCATCACAAATTGCAGTCTTCCTTCGCTCTCTTTATTCTCCTTGTCGTACAATTTTATTTCGCAACCCAGATGCTCTTTGTTTCCATTTAAAATTGACTGATCAATTTTCCAGTCAACACAGTGTCGTATAGATGACAACAAAAAATATGAAAAATATTTTTTTCCTATCTCTCTATTACTTTTGCTTCAAAAGCTGCAAAAATGTGCTCCGAACCACATCGTAGTATGCCCAAGCAAACCATTTTCAAAAAATCCCCAGAAAATCGTCACTCAGTGCCCAATTCAGCCAAAAATCAGCCCATCGAGCTCTTATTTCCTGTTGTAGTCATTCATGTGACGAAACAAATTCATATCTCGCATTTCAAGATTTTTCTTCTTTTTGCGATTTTTGGTCAGGACTCGGCCACGGGCGGTGAGGCGACCGTGGTGCTTCAGTGAAGTTTTTTGCAACCTTCTCCAATTGCAATGAAATTTTGTGGGGTGCTTTGTAGAGCTCCAGAAAGGTCAATTCCAAACGAATATGCCCTAGAGATGCCTAGATACTGTTTTATTACGCCCCAATATCGCATCAATGCTGGCTGATATGGCTTTTGAAATGACCACTGCAGCCTGAAAATGGATCGACGAGAATTTTGCGATACAGCAATAACTCGAGTTTAGTTGACACGAAGAAATGTAAATGGATTTGTCTCGCTTTGCGTTGACATCTCGGACGAAAGACCAGCCAAGATGCAGCTGCTCCACCAGCTGCTCCACACTGTTTTGTTTGTGTTGTGCCATGTACCTCCACTATCCGGATTGATGACGGCGCCGGATACGAAGCCAAGTTGCTTGACATGCCCATTTTCTGCTCGGCCACAGTCCTACCATGCTGAGCTGCATCTCGACGCCATCGTCGACCAAATATGAAGTCGCGTCCAAGCTCTTTGAGGACGGCGTCTCGACGTTGTCGTTCCAAGACGCCAAGCGCAGCGACGTCAGCGCGCAGCGCGTGCGCATCCAAGAGGCGCGGCGGCGCCTCTGCCACGACCAGATCGCTACACTGCGCGCCCGTCGCGACCGGCTCGCTGCCGCACTCGCCGCCATGGACACTCGCATTGACGCACGCGTGGCCAAGATCGCCCTTGTTGAGCAAGAGCTGATGCTGTCATAATATTGTTGATGCTGTCAATTGTTTTCGCGCCTCGTATGCTTGCTACCGGTCGCGAGAGCAAGGCGACCACCTTGGCCGTAGGTAGCACTTCAGTGAGTGCTGTCAGTAGCTCTGCTTCGTAGCAAGAGCACATGCATCTTGCACAACTCGTGCTCGTAGCGTTCGCTGTTGGCCGACAGTGTCGTTGGGCGATGAAGTCTTTTGCTGGAGCGCTGCGATTGGTCAAAACTCGGGCAATTTCCATTCTCGGACCGCAAAATGAGCGTGACGACGGACGAGCTCGCGCGGTACGGCGCATGGAGATGAGGAGGTGCATGATGAGGACGCGATGCGTAGGAAGCTGAGTGGGCTCCATGAGGAGGTCGCGAGCGTCAAGGCGCAGATCTTCGAGGCGATCCGGACCTTCTACGCTGGTGCGCCGACGACGTCCTCGAGCATGTCCCTCGACGAAGCGATCGAGTTTGCCGGGAGCTGGTCGCGCAAGGTCGACCTCCGTAGCAGCTTGACGGACCTTCCGGCGAGTGAGATCCAGCTGCGCATGGCGCGTCTCGAGGCGGTCTTGACCGACACGGTTGCACAGCTGCAGCACGACGACAACGACGACGACAGCGGGACGTTGCACCAGTCTGTCGTCGCACACGAGCGAGTGAGCGTCCAGATCCAGCAGTCGCAGAGCACGCTCTCGCTGTTGCAGCTTCTCTCCGACGTGGACACAGCGCTACAGAGCTTTGACCTGGCGATGGACGTGCCCGACCTCACGCGGGCAGCGACGGACCTCGCGGCCATCGAGACGTGTCTCTCCAAGATGAACGCGCAGCACCCTACGGCGTCCATGGAGTACCGTATCGTGCAGATCATGCAGATGCAGTACGAGGCGCGCTTGAACCAGTTGCAGTGCTACCTCGCCGACACGATCTCGGGCCTCTGGAAGATTTCGCCGCGCTCGATGAGCATCACGCCAACGTCGATGCCCGTGTACGACACCTTGCAGCGCACGCGGCAGCTCACGGCGCACCTCGAGCAGCTCGCGGCCGACCTCTACGAACACATCTTTGCACCGCTTTTTGCGGACGCGTCGCTCGTCCCGACCGTGCGCCAATCGATCGTCACACTGACACCCAAGACCGCCGCCTCGTACCCAACGACCGATATATCCCGTGGCGGTGTTAGGATGACGAGATGCATAGGACTGGCATCGCCCGCGTGCAGCACCTCTGCGCGCACGTCATCACGCTGCTCAAGTTTCTCGCTCCGTTTCTTCCGCCTCTTGAGAGCGAAGCGAGTGTCCTCGCGATGCTCATGCCATTGCTGTGGTCGTCGGCGCTCGAAGCGGCGTTTGTATCGCTGCTGCAGTCGACGCTGCCACCGGACGCGGCCCAGTTGCGGGACTTCAAGCAACACTTGACGCCTGTGGTGCGCTATCTCGACCGTGTTGTTGCATGTGCACTTAATATTTGTATGGCAGATGCACAGCTTTGAAGCGTCGCTCGTGGCCCTCCGACTCGCTCTACCCGCGTCGCTCGTCTCGTTTGGCCAGCACTTGGACGTGTACGTACCTATGTCTTGAAAATGACGGGGCACATCGATGGACGCAGGCAATTCGCCGAGCACAAGCGCGCCATCTTGCTGCAGGAAGCCCGGGAACGCATGCAGCACGACTACCTCAACTCGGTGCTCGTGCCGAGCTACCCGGCCGTCCTTGTCCCGACCAACCACAAGAAGAAGACGACGGTGCACGTGTCGCCGATGGGGACGGACGACGACCGGTCGACGCCGATGCGCGTGTCGGTCTGTGCCCAGTGGCTCGTCGCGCAGGTCGACCAGCTTTTGGCCGAGACTAGCGAGTGCGACGTCGCCGGTCCGCTTTTGCTGCAAACCGCCCGCGATCTCTTCGCTCTGTTTTCGGCGCTCATGCCGACGCTGTACAAGGAAGAGCTGCGCTTCGACCCGCGCCTCGTCTTGCTCCTGCACAATGACGCCATGTACTTTACGCGGCACATGCTCACGCTCTGCGACAAGTCGCGGTCTCTTGCCCTCCTTCTATTATTATTATTCTCTTCGTACGATCGGATGCGTTCTAGGCTGCCGCCCTCGCTGCACGACAGCGCGACGATGATCGACTTGGTGCCCGACTTGCGCGATCTTGGCGAGACCAAGCTCGTGGCCTTTGCGAAAGCGCACGCAACGCAGCTCGAGGACGCACTGCGCTCCGCCTTTGTGGTACACTTCTTCGCCGTGTGTAGCATGCGAGCGACGCGTGTAGCCATATGCATCGCTGGACGACGACGACGCGTTCAACCAGCTCGAGACCGCGATCAAGTCGGTCGTGTTCAAGCTCGAACGCATCGTGCACGCATGGAAGGGCGGGTTGGCGCCGCTCGACGTCTACTGCCGCATGGTGGCCAACCTCCTCGAGCCGCTCCTGCGCGTTTTGCTCGACGCGCTGCTTGTTTCGCCGTCGCCACGCGCCGTCGTCGTCTTGCCGCCGAAAGCGGTGCACCAACTGCACTACCTCTTCTCGCTCCTCCTCCACGTACGTCGAGCCGCCGCGTGTCTTGTCGACCATGTACTATGTGTGGTCTAGTGCGATAGCTTTTTCCCATCGACAGCGCTCGTGTGCAAGTACGTGCGGTCGGCCAAAGCCTTTCACGTCGTCACAACGCTACTGGTACAGAGCGCCTCCTCCATCCATGTCGATGCACGGTGCCATGCCGTATGGTCCTGCTACTAGGAAGAAAACAGTGTCTCTGGCATCATCGAGCAGTGGAATGCAGGCACGCTCGCCGACGTGACGCGGCCGCAACTCGTGGTGCTGCTCCAGTACACGTCGTCGTTGTGCATCCGTCGTCGTCACATGTTTTCTTCTGCGGTAGGAACTTGACCGGCGACGCGAAGGACCGCGCCTCGGCCCTCGCGCCGTGATGGATGAAACCAAGTCTCTTTTTTCCATACATACATAGTATTGGGCGACCACTTAAGCCACCAACGGCGCGTCCAGCGTGTTGCGACGCCGCTTCTCGGCGAGACAGAGCGCGACGCCGCCGAGGGCAACGACGCCCGTGATCGAGCCGCAGATCGCGACCGTTGTGCCCGTGCTCATCTTGGTCGCTACGCAAAAAGTTCGCATGAGATGGGAAGAGACGTCCACATTGGTACCGTCGATGGCCGCCTGTTCGTCGGCGGTGCGACCGCGCTCCTTGGGCGAGGGCGTGATCCAGGCCACTGGCGCCGGCGCTTCGGTCTCGGTCGGTGCGGTCGTCGTCACGTTGGCAGCCGTCGCCACCGAGGCGAATAGCAGCGCGCAGAGCGCGGTTACTTGGAAGAGCTGCATGAGAATGCGTCGGCAACTTGGGGAATGGGCCGGCGCCTGTCACGCCGGCGACGGATCCGACGGCGCGTCGTCATGGCCCGGTCGGCTGGAGTAAGCACACCTGGTATAAAAGTATTGTATCTTATTATGAATATGCAATCGACATAAGAAATCGGAATAAAAATAGGGTCTCGTCGTGCACAGGAGGTGCTGCTGTCTCTCGTCGCCGCACCCATGGAAAGCCGCCGTCGGACAGGCGGGCAGGACAGCCTTGCGCCGCTTCTTTTCAAGTCTGCTCGCCGCCGTCTGCACGAGGCCGCCGCAGCCTGCTGCCATGAGAGTAAAGGAGTAGCAGGCTGCAGCTATCTAGTCCCAACAGCGCTTCCAACGACGCGCTTCCAACGATGTGTGGTACAATAAACGTCATGCGCGGCCACCCGTGTGACGTCCTGGCCGCCGTCGGAGTCGACATGGGCCCTGTCGCAAAGCAGTGATTGCACGGTGGTCTTGCTTGGGTCTTGCTTGCCATTCGTTCTTGTTGCGTCGGTGGCGGCGTGACAGACGACGTCGACCGTCCCCTCGCACGTCGTGTCGTCGTCGTCAATACGTTAACCTTGTTGTGGCATTTAGAGTTGGATGAATGAGCATACTGTATATATATATTTATGAGTCATGCAGCGCGCGCCGGGCCGTGAGAAGGTACCCTTGTAGCTTGCGGTAGTCTTTGCGCAGCTGGACGCGCATCGAGAAGGTCGAGCTCGTGTACTCGTTGATGATCTCGTCGACGCGTGCGAGTTCGGCGTGGCGCTCGGCCTTTTGGTTGTTGCTTCCGGACGATTGCGGCAGCGCGAGGAAGCGGCGCGTCGTCTTGTTGAGAAACTTGACGCAGCTCAAGGGCGCGGCGCGGCGGCTACCGTCGTGCGCCTTCATGTGCTTGGCCGACGTCCCGAGGCGCTCTTTAAGCCGACCGCGCTCGCGCTTAAAGTCCTGGAGCAGGCGCATCTCCTCTTGGAAGCGAAGGTCGTCGTTGTGCAGAGCGTGGACCTTGAGGATACACACGCGGTACATGGCCGGCCATGGCAGCGCGCGCATGGGTTTGATGGACCACTTCTTCTCTTCGTCGGCGTCGACGCCGCACGAGGTGCGTGCAGAGACGAGCTTGTCCTGGAACGAAGAGCGCTTCGTCGCGGCGCCAGTGTCGTCGTCTTGGTTGCTGCAGTGGATGTCGAGGTCTGAGAAGGCATTGCGGCGCTGCAGCGTGCACGTGCGGGGCACAGCCACCGGCACGCCCAGGATGTCACGCTCAACGAGGCGTCGCCAGTGGCCGTGCATCGGCGGCGCCTTGGCATCTCGCAGCGTCCTGCAGGTGCTCGCGACGCAGCACAGGTCCCGCGCCTCGAGGTAGCCGTACAGGCGCTGGCGGCAGACGTCGGGCAGCTCGGTTAGCATGCCCACCAACTGCAACCTCGTCGAGTCCGGATATATTCGCTTATCCGGAATGAAACCCCACACCAAAATACACACAACAAAAAGCACGCGTGACGGGCACATTCGCGTTCGAGGGCATGAGCGTGCGTACAGCGTGCCACGTCATGCGTCTACGAAGTCTTCCAATGCGTTATCTCGAGAATGTTGTCGTCGAGGTCGCTGAAGAAGAGCGACAACTGCCTATGGCGATGTGTATAGATGGACAGGATGTCTCGGCGCGGACGTACCGGCCATAGTCTTCGAACTGCACATGGGCGTTCGTGCCATGCGCCGCCAAGTCGCTCGACAAGGACGCCTTGATGGTCGCAAAGTCGTTGGCGTCCTTGCAGGTCATGGCGAAATGCGCTCCGTTGTGGTCTCGGATCTGCGTTTGGCCGGCTGCGAGCGGCAAGAGCGCCACCTATTAGTACTGGTATGTATTCGTGGCAGCGTCGTCGTCGGTCACCTGCGCCGAGCCAATCTGGAGAAAGGCCGGGTCGACGCCAAAGTTGGGGTCGTCCTTGTAGAGGTGGCGAGCCCCCAAGACGCGCTCGTAAAACGTGATGGATTTGCGCACGTCCTTGCAGACAATGCACACGTGGTCCAGCGACGGCGGCGCATGGGCAAACACGCTCCGCGTCACCGACGAGAACGCGCGGCTGGCTCGCATGCTACCAAACAAAATGGAATGGTCACTGCAAAACACACACCATTTACACACACATGTGTGTTTTTTACAATGGACGTGAAAAATACGTGGCGCCACACAGGACGCCACCTGGACGACGCAATGCGAATGGGCCCATCGAAGGCCAAGGCGCTGTGGTCTCGTCGATCCTGACTTGGAGTTTTCATCAATCCAAGCTCTACCCAAGTATCCAAGTATCCAAGTATCCAAGTATCCAATACAGCCACCCCAACACATTGCATGCAAACGGTGCTTCTATGGACACCAGCAGTCTCTCTATGTCTGAGAGTCAAGGACGGCGCAAGCTCCCACACCGGGTGTGCCACGTTTGGCGCGTTCCATAAGGCCTACGGGGTAGCTCGATGATAGGAGCGGCTCGATGTCACGAGATGGTCTCTGCTGCCTTGACGATGGTCGGACGTGGTTTCTGAAACGGACGGGTGGCGCCTTTTTTTGGGAAAGGCGGTTCAGTCCGAGAATAGCCCGCCGTCGCGCGAGAGGTCCAGTGGTCGTTGTTGAACGGACGATGTTGTCGCACAAGAGCTCGTCCAAGGCGCCGCCCGGCGCGATGCGCAAGCGCAAGCTCGAGTCGTCGACGAGCCGCCGGCAGTCGATCCAGCGCATGGTGTCTGTCACCGTCTCCAACCAGCTCGAGCAGATTCGCGACCCGCGGGCGCGCGGCATCTTTTTCCTCTTCCGCGACTCGGGCGAGTCGATCCGCGATTACACGCTCCGCACACTGGAGCAGTCGAACGCCGGCAGCACGCTCGACGGCTCCATGATCCTCCTCAGTCTCATCTGGGTCGGCATCTACATTAGCGTCAATCGCGACGGACCACGACCTCTCCTCGACAGCACGACCCAGTCCGACAGTACGCTCGATCCCAACTTGTCTAGTTCACCGTGTTGACTCGAACGCGCCTCATAGTCATCAAGGTCGGCTATGCGCTCGGCGTCATCTTCCTCTGCGAGTACGTTTTGTGATTGTCAATGATGTGCTTTTGCGACGTGCTGCTAGTTATATGCTGCGGCTGTACGCGTCCCCGCTGCGAGGCAACCACTTTAGCAGCTTCTTCTCCATGGTCGACTTTGTCTCGTTCGTGCCGATGGTCATCGAACTCGCGCTTGGCAACGACATTCTCTCGCGCTGGGCCGACGACCCGACGCGGCGCCAGCTCGTGTCGATCCTCCAAGTCACCAAGACCGTCCGCATCCTGCGCTCGTACCGCATCCTCAAGTACATCAAGTCGACGGTGACGCGGCAAATCACGGCAACCGTCCTCACCGTCATTTGCATCATTGTTGCGATGGCTGGGATGCTTCAGATTCTGGACCAATGCGCGGCGCAGTGCCCGACCGTGTGCCAGTCCATGCTCGTGCAGACGTGCATGGACCCGACGGCAGAGCGGGCGCCCGAGACGCTTGCGTGTCTCGAGCTCAACGACAAGTTTTACTGCTGCACGTGCCAAAACCTCGGGTTCTTTGACTGGGTCTATTTCGTCGTGGTACGGTTGCCTGTGTTGTCTGCAATTTTGCGATTTTTTCGATTTTTTCGAATTTTGCAAAAGTTGCAACTTACAACTTGGATGGCATGTGAACGCATCTATGGTAGGTGTCGATTTCGACGCTCGGGTACGGCGACATTGCGCCGCGCAGCCGGTTCGGCCGCCTGGCCACGTCGCTCATGATCATGCTCACGTTCGTGCTCGTACCGATTCAAGTCAACAAGTTGATTGCGACGATCTCGTCCCACTCGGGGTACACGAATTCGTACAAAGAGTACCGGACGCACACGCACGGGATCATTACCGCGGGTGGCGAAGTCAGCGCGGGGGCGCTCAACAACTTTTTACGGCAATTTTTCCACCCCGACAACCCCAACTGGAACGAAAAGGTACATTCTCGTTTGCGACCCACGCTGAATATGCACAGATTGTCATCTTGCACCCGTCGGCTCCGACGAGCGAAGTGAAAAAGATCGTGCACCAGTACGAGCCCCGCGTCCAGTACATTGTCGGCTCGGCCATGAACGAGCTCGACCTCGAGCGCGCGATGATCAGCCGCGCGTCGATTTGCTACGTCATGATCAACAAGCACTCGCATCGGTCGTCCAACGAAGACCAGTCAAGTACGCTGCTGACTGCTGCGTTCCGTGGCTCGAACGCCAAGATTCCCATCTACTCGCAAGTGTACTCGTCCCAGAACATGGGCCACTGCACGCTCTCGGGGGCGTCCGGCGTCGTCTGCATCGAGCGCCTCAAGCTCGGCGTTGTGGGTCTCAACTGCTCCATCATGGGCCTCTCGACGCTCCTCTCGAACCTCCTCGATACGGTCTCGCCCAACGTCGAGTTTCTGTACCCGTCCGAGTCGTGGGAAGCGGCGTATTTGCGCGGTTCGCGTCTACACGCGCTCGCACTTGTCTCATGTTTTGGAGCTAGGCTACATCCACGAGATTTACAAGGTCGACCTCCCGCGCACGTTTTCCGGGCTCACATACGGCGAACTCATCTTGTTTCTCTTTGGGACGATCCAAGTGATCCCGATCGCGATGCTGACCGACCAAGGCGCGCGGATCATGCCCATGGACTTTAAAATCGGCACGACCGCCGACCCGACGATTTGTTGCACGCTCTACGTGCTCGCGGCCGGCATCTCGGTCGCGGACCGCATCGCAGAGTACCCGCTCGAGCAAATCCGCGAGTTCCGCCAAACGCTGCGCAAGCAAGAGCGGTACATGGCCGAGCGCGCCGCCAACCGCCAGCGCACCGAAGCCGTGATCGTGGCGCCGGCGCCCGAGGCGCCCACGCAGGACGACGCCGTGCCCAGCACGGCGGACGCGGAGCCGTCTGTCACGACGGAGAAGCCCGACGTCGTCGCTAACCTCAAGGTGCAAGGCTTTGCCGCCATGCGCAAAACGATCCATGGCGTCAAGCACGCGTTTGAAAAGTCGTCACCGTACAAGGATTTCCTGGTGGGCTTGTCCATCCGATCGATTGGGTAGCGCAGCCGATGGAGACATGGCTTTTTGTAGGACAAGCCACTGCCCGACGTGCTCAGCGGCCACGTGGTCGTTGTCGGGCTGCCGCTCTCACTGCACGACCTCATCACGCCGTTGCGCCAGCACATTGTCGAGACGTCCACCGTGCAGGTACATATGTTTTGACTGCAAGCCGTCGACACGCATCTTATTCTATATGGACATAGCCGATTGTCTTTATCTCGTCGTTTGGAATGACGGAAGCGCACTTTCTGACGATTCCGGACCCCGAGGGCATCTACTTTTTCCAAGGCTCCCCGCTGAGCTCGTTCGATCTCGAGCGCATTCACATTGGCAGCGCCGCGGCCATCATCATTCTCGTATTTCTTGAACTGGATATGGACACAAATGTCATCTTTAATGAACCAAACTAGGCCTCGACGTCGTCCAAGCGCCGCTACGTGGACGAAAACATGGTGGACGCGGACGCGATCACGACGGTGCGCTACATCATCGAGGCGTGCGGGTCCGCGACGCCCAACCTCATCGTGGAGCTCGTCAAAGCCACGAACGTCAAGTTTATGAGCTTCATCGTCAAGCGGCCGCCGCGCCGCGGTCGCCGACAGAGCGACGGCCGCCACTACCGGACGTTTGGCTCCGTCGCGCTCAAGTACGCCAACACGAACGGCCTCGATGCGACCAAGAACAGCGACCAGAAGATCGACATTGAACACATTTGCGAGCCGTCGTACGCCTCGGGTATCAACGCGAATATGTCGCAACATAATTGAATGGACAACGTAGGACGCGTGTATGTCAGTGGCATGATCGACTCGCTCATGAGCGAGTGCTACCAAAAACCCAACATTACATCGGTCGTCAACCTGCTCATGTTTGGGTCCCCCGAAGACGACGAGTACGATTGTTTCAATGTATCAAGAGAGCCAAACAATTGTAGGTGCCAACGGCTCTTTCAAGTCAAAGTGCCCGCACTGCTCGTCGGGAAAGAGTTTGCCGAGTGCTTTCGCAAGTGCCTCAAACTTGTAAGTCGCCTCTTTCTAGAGCCTCGGAACACTATATGCGTGTAGAACCTCATTTGCATCGGGTGCCTCCACCTTGCGTCCGACAAGTCACCGTCGTACGTGCACACGAACCCGCCGGGCACGATGAAGATCGTCGCCACCGACTTGCTCTATCTGGTCGGCAAGCCGTGCGCCGAACTGCCCCTGTAGAAAAGGCACCCAAGCCCCATGTTATGGACTAACTTATACCAATATATATTCTGCCCTATACAGAGGTCACATTGCGTCAGCCCCCTTGGGTTTTAACAGGATACGCGCAGAACGACGTCAGCGCGAGCTGCGAAGAGAGCCGGGTCCGAGCGTTGGTACAGAGCAACGTAATTGGCGTAGCCGTCTTGGAGGGCAACGTGCTCTTTCGCGGCTTCATACTGCATCGCGGCCACCCATACCTACGCCGTGGTGTCCATGCGGTCCAGTACCCTCAAGTCTTTACCGTCACATACAGACTCCGCACAAGGGCGTACACGGCGCACGCTTGGCGAAACGGACTTGTGGCGCTAAGCACCAAACAAATCTCGTTCGACTCGTATCTTGACAGCAGTTTGTACCAGTTGTCGGAGGCCGTCGCACACCCTTCCAGTGCCAGCATGCCGTCGTCCGGGCTAATGACATTTTTATCCATCAGCTTCGACTCCGCGTCGGAGCGTACCAGAGACGCGAGCCGCAGCAGCACAGCGTCGCACCGAGACCAAGCATGGTCGCCAGAAGGGCAATGGCGACAAGCCCAAGCTGCACCAGACAGAGCCCGCCGATCTACGTAAAAGTGTTGTGGCCTCTTCTCCAGCCGATGCAACGCACCACGATGGCGAGGTGCTGGCGCGGGCGGTGTGTCGAGTACATCGCTGCAAGTGTCGTGGTTGCCACAAGAGGCGGTATGCCCCAGCCGGCGGCGCTCGCAGACGTGGTGCGATGCCCCACGTAGAGGTCACCGGCCGAGAGCAAAAGGATGAGCTAGGCAACGATGTGAGACACTTGGCGCTGACGAGGCGAGCGTACGAGGAGCGATGTCCCGAGGACCTTGTGGCGCTGCGACGTGGCTGTCATTGTTTTACGAAATGAACTCGAAGGGAAAGGCGCCTCTATTTTCTACAAACTGCTTTTACGGGGACGGGGCCGCGACGCTGGCATCCATGACGACCGAGAGCTTGAGCTTCTTTTGTCGGAGGAGCGTGTGGGGGTTGCGTAGCTTGACGATCGGGCAGTTGGTGACGGCGCCAACATGCGGCTTGACCTGGAAGACGCGGTAGATCGTGTACTGCGAGCCGTGCGCGGCGGCAAAGTCGAGCTCCTGGACACTCATCTCGAACGAGAGCTTGTCGAACGTGCTCGTGGCTTTGACTTCAATGTACTCGCGGCCGCCGCTCGCGTTATTGATGCAGAGGTCGTACGGCAAGCCCGTTTCCTCGTCGGCGTTGACCCACTCGACGCTTGCCCCGAGCGATGCGTACAGGACCTCGTAGACGTACGCCTCGCCCGCGCGTCCGATCGCCATGCGCATCTCGTCCGTGAGCTGCAGTGGGCGCGGATGGTACGCTTGTGGCGCGTGCGGCATCTCGACTTGGAAGATGGCACCTTGCCGGGGCCGCTTGCTTGGCGCTTCGAGCGCTTGCGGGTTGGCCCAGTCGTGCTTGCGCTTGAGCGTCTTCGCGCCAGGCAGCTCGCTACATCATGCGAGGAGGACGTGACTCGCTAGCATACCGAGGCTGCATCTACCTCCAGAGCGGCGGCGGCACGGCCGACTCGGGCTGCATGCTCCGTACAAAGAGAGCGTTGGCCACCGACGACGCGAGCTCGGACGACGGACCATACACGTGGTTGGCCAGCGTTGTAAACACCACATATTCGTTCAACGGCTCTTCGACGTAGAGGCGGTGGCCATGCAAAAACGACGCGTGCCGCTCCTTGTGCACGGCCGTGCCTCCAATGGCATACTCGACAACGAGCGACGAGACGAGCGAGCAGCGCAGGCGTCCCAGCAAAGTCGCCCACGTCTCCTATGACCATTTACACGATGGGCCTTTGGCGATCGCGCAACAAGTATTACCATCGTCGCAGGGGGCAGCGCCGCGCGATCGACTTGCCGCGCAATGTAGTCGCGAAGACCGTCTTCGTCCGGCACCCTAGTCGGCCGCGTGAAGCTCGCATCCATTATAGCACAGAACATCGTACGTCAGGTCGCAGTCCACGTGCGTCGTGTAGGCGAGCGTCGGCATGCCTTGGGCGACCAAGTAGTCGCGGAGCGAGATGTCGTACGGTAGCGCCAGCAGCGATGGATGCGGCAGCGACAATGGCAACGGCGCGTCATCGCCTCCGAGCACGTGCGCGTCAGCAAGGACAACATACGTGTCGGCTTGGGTCGGAAACATCGCATATGGCGGCGACGCGGGCCACGCGACGTTGTGGTCGTTGAAGAGCTGGAGGACGTCGAGGACGAGCGCGTGCTTGGTGCTCTCGCGCACGGTTCCGTTGGCGCAGACAGCGGCGACGCGCGCACACCACTCGGTCGGCGCCGACACGATCGCATTCTCGAGGTTGTGGGTTGGCCACGCCTGCACGAGCGCTTCGAACGGCGCGTTGACAGGAGACGCAACGTCGACGAGCGGCGCACGTAGCGAAAGCGCTTCAAACCACGACGGGATGCCTTTCGTCCAGTACGCACCGGCGCCAAACGTGACCATGTCGCCGGTCGTGGCTTGCACAAACGGAATCGCATCCAGCGTTGTCTTGAACGGCAGCGCGTCTTGCCAATGGGCGGCCAAGAACGCCAAGTGCGGGCGCGTGTCCTCGACGCTGGACGAAAGCGCGGCGAGCACGTTGGCCATCGTCGGGTGCGTGGGCACGCCGAGGCGCAGAAAAAGATCCTTGAGCGTCTTGGGGTACACCGAGGCGAGTGCGAAGAGGCCTGGAAGCACCGGCTCCGGCATCTTCCACACACACTGCGCCAAGGTGCGTCGGTTTCCGTCGCCCGCCAACACAAGCGGCGCCGCGGCAAACGCGTCACGCACACGCGCGACGTCCGCGTCCGAGAGGTCCCGAAGCAGCGTCTGCAAGTGCTGCAAGATGACGAGGCCATCGGCGGTCGACGTCGACGGCGACTGCAGCAGCTGCACGAGATCGTCGCAGGACAATCCGTGGTGCATCTGCAGCGCGGCGATTAGCGCCGTGTTGGTCACGTCGACGACGACGGCAGACACGTGCGAACGCAGGCGACGCGGCAGCGTTGGCGCACAGATATACGCGTCTTTCGGTCGCACGAGCGTCACGACCGACGCTCGCTGCACGGGCACCCACGCGTGGGCCGTCAACGTCGCGACCGCCGCGTGCAGCAATGGCGCATGCGTCACCCGCCACGACTGGTCGAGAAACGCAAGCAGCGCCGTGGCGACGGGGACACTTGGCGTGGCTGCCGCGTACGCGACGATCGCGTCCAAGCCGGGCACGACGCCGGCGTCGAGGCTCAAGAGCACGGGCACGTGCAACACGTTCGAGAAGAAAGCGGCCGCCTTCTCGCCGTACGTCGCCGGGTCTACGACCGAGAAGGCGTCAAACACCGTCGCGTCCGGCAGATGCGGGTTGAGAAGGTACAGCTGGGCCGAGAGCGGCACGAGATGCCCTCGCGTTGTGCGTACAAAGACGCTCTCCTTGATCGCCGACACGACATTCGACGCGAGTGGTTCGTGCGCCGTCGCGTAGGTCGCGAGGAGAAAGGCCAGGACTGCGTGCTGGTCCTCGTGGTTCTTGCTCGCGGCCTTGGCGCGCGGCAAGACGTGGTGCAAGAGCACGTCCGTGGTGCTCATCGGCTTGACGCCAATGAGCAGCGCGAACGCCCGCGCGATCGGTGTCGCTTGCAGCTGCTCGCAGACGCTTGGCGCCAAGAGCTGGATCTCGGAGGCAAACGGCATCGTCGTCGGCACGACGTCCGTGGGCAAAAAGACATTTGACGCTGGCGTTGCGAGCGTCGTGGTGTCGCCCGCCACCGCCAGTGGCAGAAGACGCACGTGCTGGATCTGGGCAGCGACCGCCGTCGTCGAGCGTTCGCGGTGCGCGAGGCGCGCCAGTTGCACGAAGAGGCGGCCGTGGCTCGCGATGGACAGCAGCGAGTTGGTCGATTTCGCAATGTGCACCAGATGCGCGCTGCTCAGCGCTTGGATGCCGAGCGTGCGCTTCATCTCGGGCGAGAGCCATGCGCTGAACGACGGGTGCAGATAGTCCTTCTCGCAGACGTCGCGGAGGACCTTGTCGCACGGCGTCGGCGCGTCGTCGCCAAAGAGGTCGAGCGCATCGAGCACCGACGTCGGGTGCACCCAGCGGCCGGCTGTGTTTTGCACGATCGGCATCGACTGCAGTCGGACGCCAATGTCTTGGGCGAGCACGTGGAACGGCGGCTGGACCTCGTGGAGCAGCGGCAGAAGCCGGATCAAGTGCGGGTGGCTTTGGACAACGTCGAGGAAGGCGTGCACGAAGAGCGACGGGAACTCGAGGAGGAGCCATTGGTTCCACGACGAGTCGAGCACGGCCTCGCGCGACGACGGCACTTCAAAGTCGGCTTGCAGAATGCACCGAAAGCCGTAGCTCTGCAGCGGCAAGTAGGCAAACACCGACTGCAGCGGGTGCGATGCGACGCTCTCGTCCGTGATGGGAAACGCGACTTGGAGCAGCGTCGAAGTGCCTTCAAGCACGTGCTCGCGGAGGTTGCTTGTAGGCACGACGACCGCGCGCTCGGCCACATACCTAGTCAATCATCATCGCGACGGTCGAAAGAAGGCAGAGGACGTACCATTGCTGGGACGCCGTCTCGCTTGTGTGCAGCGTCACAAGGTGCGGCGACGTCCACGTCTTCTTGTAGCACACGCGCGTCGAGAGCACGTGGTTGGTGAGCTCGAGCGACTGCAGCTGCCGTAAGAGAGCAAAATGGACGGCTGAATGTGCTCGAGGAGGGCGCACGTCGACGGCAGTTGCGCCTTGGCCTGCGCGTGCAGCGGAAAGTGCATCGTGGTGCCGCTGTCGGGAAACGCCGGTGCGTCGATCCAGTAGGGCAAAATGTAGCTCACGTGGTCTAATGCAGCACGATTCATCATGATGGGATGCTCCGAGAGGGATGTCGACGATGCGACAAGGCGATCGATGCGAGCCATTGCGTCCCAACAAAGATAGACACTATCTTCATGTCGTGCGGCAGCGCGGTCAAGGCACGAGCCAGCACCGGACGCCGGATGCACTTTGGACAACGCTCCAAGCAATCACGGGGCCAGCAAGCACAAGTCGCTGCCGCCGCCCGCGGCCGCCGTCTCGACATGTATCAATCTTTCAAACAAGATGGGGTACCTGGCCCGAGGTCGTGCTGGGGTTGGCGTCGAAGCGCAGGTGGAACCCATTGCTGTGGATCTCGGGCGCGTGCGTGACCGTAAAGACCGACTTGAAGCCAATGCCTTTTTGGCCAATGAACCCGGTTGCGCTCGCTTTCGTCGACGCGCCGACGTCACAGAGCGCGCGGACGTGCGGCGGCTGGAACCCCACTTCGTTGCAGAAGAACGTGATCGCATCCTCGGTGACGACAAAGCTCGCGACGGGCGAGACGCCATGAGCGTACGTGTTGTCGTCGGCGTTCTGGATGAGCTCGAGCACAAAGTGCGTCGACGCGGCGTAGAGTTCTTCGCTGAGGCGCTTGAGCGCGCGCTCGAGGCGCTGGTGCTGGCGCTGCAGAAACGCTTGCGTCTCGGGCGTCACGGGCAGCCCGATACCGAAATTGTCGCGTCGGATGCTCTCGACGAGCGACCGGCACGCGTCGACGTCGACGGCCGCCGGTGCAACGGTGGTCGTCGTCGGCACCAAAGCGACGGTCGCGACCGTAGGTGTCGCGACGGCAGTCGACTCGACACTCGGTACCGGCGTCGACGGCACGGACGATGCCAATGACGGCAAGGCGGCAAAGCTGCCGCTCGACAGGAACACGTCGAGGTGCGCTTGCCACTGCGGCACGGACGCCGTCACCCCAAGGTGCGCCAACCGCAGCTGGTCGGTCCAGTGGGTCGCTGCCCGCCAGAGCTGGTCGGGCATGTTGAGCACGACGGTCGAGAGACTCTTGAGCACGTGCGGGCCGAGATGCGGGACGAGGTCGATTGGGAGTCGGCGAAGCGCAGCTAAGCCCACGTCGACCGGCGATGGCACTTGCTCGAGCACGGATACGATCGCGGCTTCAAGCAGCGGCCACGGACACGCCTCGCGCATCGAGACAAACATCGAAGTGACGTGGACGGCAATGTCATCGCCCGTATTCGCGGTCACTGCAATGGACGCCGGCGTCGACGTGGCACTGAGCTTGATAAACGCACCGCTGCGCAGTTTGAGGAGCGGGACGTGCGGCACGTGGTGCTGGAAAAAGGGCAGAAAGGGCCCATGCTCGTACGCAAAATGCAGCGACCAGCCAAGCGCCGACTCGATATCGACCAAGCACGGGAGGGCTTTAAGCGCCGCAACAATTTCGGCGATCGGTCGTTGGAGCGTCGGCGGTGTCGGCGCCGCTGCGAGCAGCGGGTGCGTAAAGAGCAACGTTGTCGGCGGCGCCTGCGTGGACGCAAGCGCGGCTGCCGGCACCGACGACAAGTGCAACTCGGCGGCGACAGCGGCCTCGACAAGCGACACTGTGGGCGCTGATGGCGGCGAGGCAAAGTCGTGCTGGGCGACGCGGCACTGGTACACAAGCGACTCGACTTGGGGCAGAAGCGTGCGGGGACACCCTCTACGGCTTTGCTTCAGGCATGGAAACGAGGCACAACAGACGAGCGTACCGATTTGCTACGGGCAGTCGCAGGGGAGGCGATGCCTCCTCGTGCGTTGCGGCCGCAAGCAGCGACGGCAGTTGCAACTCGACTTCAATCGCACGCAGACGAGCCAGAACGTCGACATCGTCGTCGTCGTCGTCGCGAAAGCCTGCTGCAGCTTGGCTCGTAGTGTCGTTAACGTTGCTGCATCGACGACCGCTGGCTACACGACCACAGTGCCGTGATGCAAGGACGATGGGTAGGTGATGCGTACCGCAGGCGGGCTCGACGCCAGCAATGGCACCGGCGGCGGCACCGGCATGACCATGGAGGTCTTATTGGTCTCGTTGTCACTTCCCCCGTCGCCGTCGTCATCACTGCCGTCGCCGTCGTCGTCGTCGTCCATGACGTGGCATTTGCAGGTACACGCGCACGAGCATGCGTCCTTGCCGACGCAGCAGCACTTGCACTCCTCATCGTCGTTGTCGTCGTTGGCTGCGGCTTCGCGTTCTCGGCCCTTGTGCTACGCCAAAATGCACTCGATGAAACCACGCAAAATCACGAAACATCACGAAACATCACGAAACATCACGAAACATCACGAAAAAATCACGAAAAAACAGCACAGACTCGTACCACGGAATCGAGCTTGTCGGTGTCGAGCAGCACGCGTGCTTTGGCCATGATGCTGCAGAGCACCCACGAGACCGTGGCGGACCGGGACTTCTCCATTTTTTGCGCACGACTTTGGCGCGCAATTTGGTGTCCATGGCCGCGATCGTCGACGCGACGTTTTGGGCAAGCGCGACCGGTACCGCGCAATCTCCTGGTCGAGCTCGGCGTCGAGGCGCGTGATCGTCGTCAGAAGCGACGACGCGACACGCGCACTCACGTTGGCCTTCTGGTTGCCCTCGGGCAGCGCGACGTTCTGGGCGATGAGCGCATCGCCAATGGCCTTTTCCCGGTTCTCGGCGCTGAACTTGGTCTTGGTGATCTCAAAAACGCGGTCCGTGATGTCTTTTCGGAAATCGTTTTCGAGGTTCCGGAGCTCCTTGCGCTCTTCGTTGTACATGCGGCGCATGAGCTCGATGGACCGGCCCATGTTGGCGACGGTAACGCCGAGGGTCCCAACCGGATGCTTCATGGTCGCGGCCATGTAGGCGAGGAAGGCGGTCGGGTCCTGCGTCTGTCGGTTGAGCACGAAGCGAAAGTCACGCAGATGCAGGAGCACGTCTTTGGTCGAGAGCGACGCGATCGGCGGCGGGCCCTGCACGTGGAAGTGGTAGGCCACGGCCGGCGACAGGCCAAAGCACGTGCCAAGCCCCAGCGCGTCAAAGGTCGCCACTTGGTGCAGCTCGAGGAAGCCGGCTTCGGCGTCGTGGACCGTCGAGATGGCGCGCGACGTGACGTAGATCCCGACAAAGTCCCACAGCGAGGCTTCGAGGTCGAGCACTTGGCGGATCGCGGGCACAGCGAACGGCGCACCGAGGTTGAGCTCGGCAAACGACATGACGTTGAAGCGCAGGCAGAGCGCGTCGAGGAGGTCCTTGGACGAGAGGAAGCTCGGCGGGCCATGCGATCGCTCCCGGCGGATGGCTTCGACCTCGGCCTCGACCTGCCATAGCAGCGAGCTCGGTGGATACCGTGGTTGTTGCATGATCCGGGCCAAATTGAAAGTGGCCAGTGATTGGCCAAAAGGACTGGTAACGCTTTTGCACCAATGAAACCGCGGGATTCCTCCAAAAGCCTAGGCATTGGCCTAAAGTCGTGAGCGGATGGTAAATTGTCCAATCAAAACCGAGCGATTCAACCGTAGGCTGCACAACCGCCGGATACGAGGCGATATCCGGATATCCCACCGGCTTGGGTCCATTGTTGCAGGTTGCACCTTGGCGCGGACCAGCATGGACGAGGAGCATGCGTCCCTCCCGCGGCCGTCGATCGCGTCGCTGGAGCATGCGAGCCTGCGCTACCTCCTCGACGTCGTGCCCAAGCTCGTGCAGGACGCGCCCGCGTCGGTGAAGGACGAGGTCGGCGCGCTCCTGCTGGACCGCGTGCGCGCCGAGACCGAGCCGGAAGATGGCGTGAACCAGCTGCTGCGCCTCATGGGCATCTATCTGCACTCGAGCGAAGCCATCACGGAGGCCATCGTCGAGCTGCTCTATGGGTCGTGCTACCGCGTCGTGCTCATCCACCACCTGCCACAGGTTGCCATCATACATGTCATCGCCGCGACGCTCACATGCGGTGGTAGCTCACGTACCAGTCGCCAAAGTGCATTAACCTCGTGCTCCAAGCGTACAAGGACCTCCTCGAGAGCGACAGCGCGCTCCTCGTCCCGCTTCTCGGGTCGCTTGTCGACATGCCGCTCTCGCCATCGCAGCAGAACGACATAGTGCTGCTCGCGCACGTAGGCTCTACATGCCCTTCCCACGCGCCATCGTAGCGATGCACCTGTATAGACGATGCTCGACAGCGTCGACGAGACGGACGTTCCGTCGGTCATCCGCAGTCTCCTCGCGCTCCTGACGCCGACGACGGCCGCGGCGACACTGAGCCGGATTCGCCAGCAAGCGACGAGCCTGTCGCTGCCGCATCTGCACCTCGTCCTCGACGTACTTCATATTGTCGTTGCTACTTCTTGGCGCAGCCCATTCTGCTGGCGTAGGTCATGTCCGGACAGCTCTACAGCGGGTCGGTCGTCCTCAAGTACACGCTTCGCTCGATTCGCACCGCCGACGACCTCGATCGCCTCGACGGTCTCTGGCTCCTAACGCTTCTCCAGCGGTCGTCCGAGCACACAGTACCCCATCTTTCTCGTCGTCCCCAACTCTATTAACTCTATGGCATTCCGTAGACGGTGTGGAAGTGCCTCCTGCACATGCACAAGAAGATTTCGCTGGCATGGCTCCTCTCGCTGCAGCAGGTCGTGGCATCGCATGTCTTTGCCTCGTACCAAGCCAGCTACGTCCAGCTCTGTTCGCTGCTCTTCGACGTTGCGTTTCACAAGCAAACGACGCTAGCACTCGGCACGACGCTCATCTCGCACGCGATCCAGAGTCTCACGGCGCTCTTGCGCGAGAGCATCGACGTCCAAAGCGTGCTGCAGCTCCTTTTGCACCTCGTCGGGCGGTCGCACACGTGGAACACGACGCAGCGCGACGGGCTTCGTCGCCACATGGCCGTCACGGCCGCCGTCGGCATCGCGGACGCCCTTCCGTCGCTGCGCGCGTACTACGGCCACTTGGTGTTGGACACGATCCACGTTGTGAGTGCGACCAAAGGCGACAACACGGCGCTGCTCGACCCGCTCTGCTTTGCCGTCGTCCAGCTCGTGCCGACGGACCCGTCGCTGTACACGCTGCTGGTGATGACGATTCAAAAACACATCTTGCAGCAGGCGTCGCCGCTCCAGCTCACGTCGATCTTGCTCGCGGCCCACTTGACGTACGCCAACGTGGTCACGCCCACGGACCGGCGCACGATCACAGCGTGGATGCTGCGTCTCCTCGCCTACGCCCCGCTCTCGGTACGTCCCACACAAGGCCAATCCAATAGTCTCGACGTTCGGCACGTCGGGACAGATTATTCTGGACAAGACTCGGAACCTATTGGTAACATTTCAAACTGACGTCGGGCTAGGTCGTGCCCGGGGTCGCTACGTACCTCTGCGCGCACGTGGATGCGTCGCTGGCCGAGACGCACGTTTTGCCCGCGCTCCGGCGCCGGCGCGTGCTCACGTCGACGCGAGAGCTCTCGCTAGTGGCCTATTTTCAACACCACGCCGGCGCTCCCTGCAGTGAAAGCACGGCCGCGCTCGCCGAACTCGTGCGCTGCCTCGTCGCCTACGCCCCGCCGTACGCTTCTTTCATTGTAGCACACATGGTGGCGTCTCCACTCACATTGGGATCGAATAGCGCGCTCCTCGACGACGTCTTGTCGCAGCCCCTCGTCAGCGCGTGGCCAGACGAATTTGGGCCCCAAGAGTCGTTGGCATCCATGTTCCAGGCGGCCATTTACGTCGGCGTCACGCTTCTCAACAGTTTGTTTGCGGCCGGTCGGCGCGATGCCGTACTTGATCGTCTGTGGGACCAAGTCGTGGGGTACTTTGACCAGCACACACAGGTACAGGATCCCGTCTCTCCTCAATGCAACGTACGATGCAATCGGGGATATTAGACCGCCCATGAAAAGACGTCGTTGAGCTACTTGCGGCTCTTGGACGACGCGGTGGTGTGTTATTTCCTGACGCAGTTGCCGCCGACCGAATCGACGCCACCCTCGCTTGGCCAAGCGCGCTGCATTCGCTTGCTCTACCATGGCCTCGTGGACCGCGACGCGCCGCAGCCGCCGCACTGGCGTCTCTACGGCACGTACATGAACGCGCTCAGGTCGCATCTCGCACTCGACGTGCCATGGACCGCCTACATCACCGCCCTCACAGCGGCAACGACAACAGCCGAGTCGGTCGCCGAGACGCTTCTGCAGGTGTATGCCATCCTCGGGGCACTCCTCGCCGCCGATCGGGACGCTCTTCTATTTGCATGTGCCGAGCGCGACATGCCACTCTGGGAGGCCGCCGACGCCTTCTACAACTTTGTATCGACCAACCTCCTTCAACTGCAGGTAAAATATCCTCGTATCCGATCACAAGGTACTCATCGCATAATGCCAGGACGCTCAAGTGCTCTGTGCAGCCCTCGACGTGCTCGTCCTCGTGTGCAAACCTGCACCGTTGATGCTGCAAGACGTCGCGCAGCTCGGCAAGACGCTGCTTTCGACTGTCTACCCGCACGCCAACGTCGAATGGAGTGCGTGGAAAGGCTACTTGGCGCTCTCCCCGACGCCTCTGGCGGTCACGTGGCTTGACCATAGCTCGTTTCTGAAGAGCTATGCGCCAACGCACGCGTCGTCTTCCTTGTACGTCCTCATCGCTGTGGTCCTTCTTGATCGGGTTGAAGACGTCGTTCCTAGGTATTATTTACACCACTGCTACGCCACGGTGTTTGCCCTCTCGCCGCACCCGCTGCCATTTCTATCGTGGACCGCCGACGTGCTTACGACCATGGTCACCGACGACGTCGACGTCGCGCCAGGTCTGCGCACGTGCACGCGCGCGAGCTTTCCGCAGCTCTTTACGTCGTTTTGGCTCAGTTTGCTCTCGATGGCGACGCACCCGACCTTGGCCCCGACGCCGACGAGAGACCCGTACCACCGGATCACGGGCTACCTGCACGTGCTCTCGAAAGCCATTGCGCTCGCCCATATCGGCGACCTCTACAGCTCGGAGCTGGCCCGCAAAACGTACGACTTTGCTCCATTTGTTTCGCTAAGAATCGCGTTGCGTAGCGTCCCGCTGCTCGTGCGCGCGTGTCAGTTTCTCTGCGAGCGCGTCGTCGTCGTCGTCGACAAGTGCCTCCAATGGCGTCTCTCATCGCCCGAGATCGCGGCCGACAAGAGCCTCTTGGCGCCACTGTGCCACCATGTGCTTTTGGTGCTGGACGCGATGGAGCGCTACGTGCAGTACATCCAAGCGCTCATGGTCGTGCACATGAAGACGGTCATGGAGCACGCGAAAGGCACGACAAAGCTCTCGACGCTCGCCAAGACGAAGAAGGGACCGCCTGTCTGGACCATGCTCCACCGCATTCCTCAAGTCAAGGTACACTATTGGTGCGTGTTTCTCGACCTACTATGATGCTGCTGTTGTTGTAGCAACTGCCGCAACTCAAGCGCTGGATCCACCGGGCCAAGGCGTCCTTGAGCCTCACCATGTAGCAGTCCCTTTGTCAATGTACCGCCTCGTGACCATTGGAACGGTGGTAGGCACCGGGAGCAAATTCCTTCGCTGGACGACGAGGCACCCGATGCCGACGCGACAGTCGCTCCCGACGAGAGCGATGGCATCCGCCGGACGCCGCCGCACGATGCTGCGTACCGGTGGCAGAAGCAAGCCCGGAAGGACCAACACGTGGCTTGGGTCAGCAGCGACGAAGACGAAGCCAAGGATGAAGACGAGGCCGCCGACGAGGGCGATTTGTGGTCGGGCGACGAAGCCGAGAGCGGGTTCCACGCTGCGGTCGCAAGCACCAAGTCGGTGCGACACGACATTGAGGCGCTACAGACGCCGATGAAGCTGCGGCTCCACGAGAACGCGACTCTTGGCTTTGCCTCGGTCGTGATCGACTTCAAGACCAAGCGCACGACCCGCTTGTAGCTGCTACCTGTAGCGTCGGCGATGTAATAGGACGACCCTTGCCTACCTTTAACACGTCGCGAGTACGTGGCGCGGTGTCGCGCTTGGGCTTCTTTTGCACGCGCAACTTCAACCTGCGACCACTTGCGCATGTCCGCTGTCCCAACTGCCTTGTCCATATCACGATGTTGAAGTAGCCACTCGGTCCACGGCGTGGCTAGACGCACGCCATTTGCAAGTGGACCCGCAGCTGCCATCACCAGCTGGCAACGGACACGAGCTCCGTCCACGTCCGTGGTGTGTTGCTCCTTGTTCGAGAGGCATTCTCGTTGGAACGCAACCACTCTTGTCCATCCAAGTCACTGAATCTTGCTCGTCTCTGACACACACACACACGTACGTGGCCTCGTCGCTGTGCAACTTGACGCCGTAATGGGCTGGTGACACGTGCGTTTTTTTTACTTGAAAAAATGGCACGTCGCTCGGTCCTCAGGTGACGAGGGTCGAGCTTCCTGGAGCGGTTCGGGGGCCGGATGGCGTCGGTGGGTCGAGGTACAATATTGTAGCCCGTGGAGGCGGAGGGATTCTATGACCCAACCGGTCAGCAATGGGTATACAAGGGCGCGTCGTGCGGTCGCGCTTTTGTGTCCCGGCGGTCAGTGGCGTGCGCATAGCCTTGCCGGCGGGTCCCACGCGGGCGACGTGCCGTCCGATTCCACGCACGCGGCGCGTGTGATTGGCGGATCGCCATCCGGATGGCGGGAATGGACCAATGGGAACATTCGAACCGGGACGCTGGTTTGCGCGCAGAAAGACAGCCGGATTATTTGGATTGGATTGGATTTTTCACTTTGCTTTTCCGCTCGAGAGACGCGATGGCCCCGATCGTCATCCACACGCGCTTCGACGCCCCGACGATGGCGACCACAACGGAGAGTAGTGCGCTCAAGACGCCGAGCCTCGATGCGTGGTACGACAAGGTGGTCACCAGCGCGCTGCATGGGCGCGGCGGGCCCGAGGCCCACTACACGTTCCCGACGCCGCAGTTCCTCGGGCTCCACGAGTCGAGCTTGACGGCGATTGAACTCTGCCTCAGCACGGACCATGTCGACCCGCGCTTGCCATTGCACTTGGCCATCTTTGAAGGCAACTTGGCGCTGGTCAAGACGCTCTTGTCGCGCCGCCCGGAGCTGCTCAGCGCCGACGCGCTCTACTGCGCCGCGTACTGGGGCGAACTCAACCTTGTCAAGTACCTCGTTCGCGTCGAGCACACGCCGGCCGCGACTGCCCTCGCCGCGCTCAAGGGCCATACCTCGGTGGTCGAGTTTCTCATCGACGTGCGCCGCGTCACCTTTGACGAGATGCTATTGGCCAAAGCGAGCGTGCCGCTCTTGCGCTTTGTGATTGACGACCACTTTTTCGCGTCCGACGGCGTCTACGCGGTGCAGACGTGGGCCAAGCAGAAGAAACTGCACAGCGTCCTCGCGCTCTTCGACTACGTGGGCGTCTGATACGCATTCGTTTGCTCTATTTAACCCTTGCTGCTTTCCCACCGATCCTCCTCCTCCTATCTATGTAAAATGCGACGCTGCGTCGCTAAATTAAACCTGTAAGTTCTTTTCTGTGAGTGCTGCTGTCGATGGCTTCGAGGCAAGAGGGCGGCTGCGAATGTACCGGTACGCCGGCATGAACCAGACGCCAGAACCTTGAAGCGCACGTTGAAGCTACGTTGGGGGGCAACTTCAAGATACCGTATTATCCAGTGCAATAGTAAAATGCAGGTCAGCTACTACTTGACGTTGGTGTGCGCAGATTTTGGTATTCAGTGAAAAAAGGGAGAGCAACGAAGGCGTGAGCTCGCGGACATGTATCCGTTATCTTGTCCGACTTGGCGTGGATGTGGTCACCGACTGTAAGCGCATTTCGGGCAGGAGCTCGAGGTCGAATTCGTCACCGTTGTTGGAACGTTGATTCCGCTCGCCAGCAATATCACGCACATGTCGCTCATGGGGCAGAGTTAGCACGTTCGAGCGTAAGCACAACACGTGACTGTCCAGGAAGCCACCCTATCGAGTAGTCGAGCGTCTCAATAAGAGCTGCAGCGTTCGAATGCAAGAGGGGCTTACGGAGGGTCCAAATCACGCCACCAGGTCAAACTTCGAGGAATCAAGTATCATATTGCGCGGATTTTGGTCGAAACATGCGCGAGGCCTCAAAACGGCCGAAAAAGGCGCGGAAACGCAGCGAGCCGGATTTTAGGCCCCCAAAAAGTTGTCGCGGGGTCGGGGGAGGGTAATTACGGGCAATTTCCGCGCATTTTTCCACCGTTTTAGCCGTTTTTGGCCCCGCACATTTTTCCACCGAAATCCGCGCAAGTTTAGATCGCACCCATGGGTCGCACCCAAACTTTGAGTATTTTATTCATCTATACCAATCATTCTATTTCGTCGTTAGTCCATATACGTCTCGTCGTAGAGCATCGTGAGGTACTTGTCGGGCTGGGCGGGGCACCACATGCTCGTGCCAGCGATCGAACACCGCTTCAGAGGAAACACCCACTCGCGCGGGATGTTGAAATACCATGTATCGGGGCAGTACTTGCACGTGTACCAGCAGCCCGACTGGACGGGCCCGAGCATCTCGACCGTCCCGTTCACAATCGCATCGGCCGACGGCATGAGCAGCTCGCCGATCGTGCCGTTCGAGCTCGAGAACGTCGCGTTCGCCGGCTGCTGCGACGGCAAGAACTCAAAGACGTCCGTGTACAGCCCCGTGTGCTTGTCGACAAACCGTCCTGGAAGATACCAGTACGGGCCGTCCCGGTACAGCGGACTGTCGCGAAGGAAGAGCTCGTAGCGCGGCAAGAGCGTCGAGAGATTTGTGTGCCGCAGCTCGTTCATCGAGGCTTGCGTCAAGCCAATGTCGGCGTCGACGTCGTGGGGAATGATGTCGCCGCCGCGGACTGCGCCGAGGAGCGTGCCGCTGTCGAGCCAGTACTCGATACCGTGGTGCTCCAACGCCCGAGTGATTTCGAGCAGCATGGTTCGAATGCGGGCGCGGCGCTCTGAGACGGGGTAGCACTCGGTCTTGTTGACGTAATCTTCGACCAAGTGCTCCATGACGAGTACGGCGCAGTCGACCTTGCGGTTGGGGTCATGCGGGTAGATGCTGCCTCGGTTGTCCGTGACGAGAGGCACAGGCGTAGGCGACGTCGTCGGTGGCAGCGTCGGAGCAGCGTGCACAAGGTTTTGCTGTAAGACGACGATGTGTGGTTTCGCACGATGCAATGCGATCAACTGCAGATCACGCATCATCCAGAGGACAGAGACGACGATGAGCAGTCCCACGAGCCGGACACACCATTGTCGCCCCATACTTGTACGAGCAATACGACAAGAGTTGTCTGAAGGAGCCTGCGTTTGCCTCTTTTAAAGGCTCGCCAAGCCCAAAATACGCAATGGACCCACGGATTGAGAGGATTTTCGATCGTTGGCAACGCTGGCTGTGTGGGTGGTGTGATAGCTGTAGCACCGGGCAAGCCCAAAGGACCTTGGTCGCATTGACCTTGGTGGGAACGAATGCATGCACGCCTTCTGTAGCTCATTGTAGTACTTGCAACGGGGTACCTAAATCGACGGCTCTTCCCTTGTGTGCACCACCCGAATAAGGCAGTGCAACTAAAAGTGGTTATATATGGTTATATATGGTATCTGCCATGTTTAATTGCGCAGCTCGTAGCGCACGCTGCAGGCCTCGCACGTCCATGCGGCATAGCTTGTTGTGTCCTGCAAATCCCCATCTATCGTTCGACCAAGCAAATGCGACTTTGAATTCCGATCGCATTTCGGTCCCGCGAGCGACCTCGCGTAGTGGGGTTGGTTGCACGTGACATCTGATTGGCCAATTTATATAATTTTTTGTCCAATCGAAACGTTCAAATACAAGGCTCGGATACCACCAAGCACTTGGCTCTCGTTGCGTTGTGGCTAACGTCCACAGAGGCCCCTGCGGTACTATTTAGTGTTGAGACTGTGCTTGAGCCAACGAAAAGTTTGAGGCAGCCTCGTATTATCTTATCGCATGTGCTCGACTATTCTGTGACGTCAAACTAAATCTGCTTGTAGATGGTTTGGGGCGTCATGATCTCGACAAGCGGCGGCGTCGACGCTTCCGATGTGGACGGCGCCGTCCACTTGAGCTGCGCAAGAAGGGCGGCCGCAAAGATCCCAATGTTAAGGGAAAACATCGCATCGCTCACGTCCGTGAGGCCCGCATCGCGCGACACCACCGCGTTGACCTCTGTCGGCGGGTAGATCATATGAACGTGTTTCGACGGGTACTAGTAGATCATATTGTACATAATCATATGTGACGCGAGCAGCATGCGCGAGCCCGCAAAGGGCGAGGCAAAGATGAGCGGCAAGTGGCATCCGATGCAGGCAAATCCAACGGGCACGGCAGTTATGAGACCAATGACGTGGGCCGTGAGAAGACCTGTATTAAGGTCACGCTGGTGGACAGCTTCGTCAAAACGTGTTCAATTTCAATTTGGAGCACTAGCCTCGCTCCCCTAGTCCAGATCCATCGATTTTAGTGCTATTTACAATGTTAGCTTTCAATTATTCCAGGCGTATTATTATCGGCCTCCAAGCCAGCCCCAAATTTTGTACTGGTACGTCTTTAGATGACGTGCACCATAACTCGCAGAGTTATAATAGTGATTCGTTCGCGATGTGACATTACGGCTTACACATAAACAGACAGTGAACCTATGCGCCGATAGTCGGTAGCGATTTCACACTCGGTCGTCCGTCGCTTCCAGTACTTGCACATCACGCTAAACCAGTAATGCAGGCGTATCGAGCAGTGCGAGGAGACACATTTTTTGCATCGAGTCACCGAGTACAGATATCGTCAACCAACAACATCAAGATGAAAGAATGCAGGGACTATACCAAACTATCACTATTTTACACGCGGTGACGACAAAGTGCCGCGGCCGCGACCTCGGCCCACACGTGATACCGAACGACAAGTGGCTCGGCTGGCTCGCTACGACGGTCGACGCCTTCACGTGCGGCCCGGTGCCAAGCCCGACTCCCAAGCCGCCATGGCTGGTTCGACTCCACAAGGTCACCAAGCCGTTGACCCAGACGACGCCCGCCGAAGCCCGCCGACGTCGTGCCCCGCCAAGGACGCGCTTGCAGCTACCGACCAGTCACC